ATCTCTCTTTTTGAAGTTCTAAATCAATCTTTTGATGTTCAAGATTCAATCTTCTCAGTTGCAATTCTTCAGAGTCAGTTGCTGGCAGCAGGTTAGAAATCACTGCAGACATCTTCACTCTATCTTCTGAAGAAGTTGAATCAGCATATTCAACATGACATAGGCAGACTGGTCTCACTGTGATAGAGGCTGTAATCAGCCTGGCTTGCTGACCAGGTGTTTCAGAGGGTTCAATTCTGGAACTCTTGAACACTCCTAAGGGGGTTGATGAGCTCAGGGCCCTCTGATCATTTTCAGATTGGTCAGATTGACTGGATTGACTCAATCATAACCACAAGTAAGTCATCATACATTCTGTCATGTCATATTAATCTTCTTTATAACAGAGTAATCTTATTTGATGAGATTCTTGCCTATAAGCTTGATTGAGCAGATTGACATGTTCTTGTGTGATCAGTCACTGAAAAATTAGCAAGTTGCAGATTTTTCTTTCACTCACTAAGTGAATGGATTGAACACAGAAAAAAAAATAATAATAATATAAGAGTGCATCAAATCAATCAATTGACATAAAATAAGACAATATTATATTGAATGAAGTGAGCAGTGATTAATATACACTATATTTGGCAAGAATTCCCTGAATTGGCAGTTATTTGCGCAAAACAGGTCTCATAACCTGTCAAGGATAGATTGCTTGATTGATTATGAGGTGATCGCTAGCTACGCGGAAGTTATATATGGTGCAGATTACGTAAGAAGGCGGATAGGCCTGACAGCATCAACTTATATAACACATTCAAATATATAAAATAAGATGTCCTGAACCTATTTTAATTTAATTTAATTTAATTTAGTCTAGTTATTGGTGGTTGAGTATATATATTTCAGGTTGAAATCTAGTTAAATCAAGATAAATCATCTGAATTTGGCTGCCTACTCGCTTGTGGATTACGTTAACTATATTGTTCTATGCCTGACCCTCATCTGACTATCTCCTCCACTCACCGCATGCCCCCGCGCTCATAGCAACTAGACAACTAGACGGATAAATAATAATATCACCAACACCAACTCCGCACCTCCCCTATATTCATTCCTGTTCTTATTTCTTCTCCTCCTCTTCTTCTTCCTATTCCTTCTTAAATTCTAAGCAGTCCTTCCATAAATCTACCATTTACCTCCCATTTTCCTCTGCGCTTATCTGCCAATAAACCCCTGTTCTCCAACCTCCAGTTACCATGGCGGGCCGTTTTGTTCGCTCATCCAAGTATCGTGCGTGGCTCTCCTAAATAGTCAAAAGAAATCAAAAAGACCAATTGTGTCCACCTTCCCCCGCGACTGACTGCTGCATGCTCTGCTGTAACAGGACATGTTTTCGGACGCCCAACGCGAAAGGTACTCGTGCAGCTACCATACGTCTTATTATCCATAATTTTATCCCTTATCCCTTATCCCACCACTGAATTTGGTGCTAACATTGTACCCCCAATGTCCAGGAACAATGTTATGACAATCTCCACATCTCCAGAAATGCCTGGGACACCAATCTCGTGAAGGTTCTGTTCTCCCCTCTGTCCCTGAAGACTATGACCCGGAAATCGACGGAAACCTGGTCCTAATATATGCTTGATATGGTTAGGTCAACCCTCAATATATATCGGTCAACTGGGAAACCTCAGGGGGTGGCGCATTCGCTGTATTGCCAACCAACGAAACCGGAAGACTCCCTGAACGGTTCCCCCTCTTCCGCGGACATACCGCCGTCGTGCTGGATACTGACTGGTGAGAAACCCCATTTATCCCTCAGGGACGATCAACCAACCAACCAATCGAAATCTATCAATCAATAATAACCGTTGGACATAATAGGAACCCTTTTAACGACTCCTTGATCGCGTCGGGGTCCGATGACGGCAAGGTAAAATCTTAGGACCCTTCTCCCTTCCAAACTCCCATCCCATTTTCTCAATTTCGACCTCCATTTATCATATTATCCATACATCTATCGCATTGCATGTCGATCTCCTGCTGAAATTGGACAGGTTTTTTTATGGAGAGTGCCGGAAAATTTCACATTATACTCAGATGCTGAGCAAATCGAAGATATCTCGCCCATGGGAAAATTAAGTGGACATCCAAGGTATGATCCGCATCCCCCATCATGCCACTATCGATACGAGAGAAACCTGTGCGAGATCTGTGACTTACTTTCTTTTTTCTTTTTTCTTTTTTCTTTTGTTTTCAGGAAAGTTGGACATGTTCTTTTCAATCCGGCCGCCGAGAACGTATTGGCATCGTCCTCTGGGGACTTCACCGTTAAAATCTGGGACATCGAATCCGGATCGTCCAATCTTACACTGAAACACGGCGAAGTGATTCAATCTTTGTCCTGGAGTGCAAATGGCTCGATGTTGGTTACAACTTCGCGCGATAAGAAACTTCGATTTTGGGATGTCCGTCAGGAGAGAGCTGCCCACGAAACCGCTGGCCACTCTGGTGCTAAGAGCAGCCGCGCTGTATGGATGGGAGAACATGATCGTGTCGCCACGACCGGATTTTCGAAGATGAGCGATCGCCAGCTGGCTTTGTGGGATATCCGTGCCCCGATAGAGCCTATCGGTGGTTTCAAATCTCTTGATTCTATTTCTGGTGTCTGCATGCCGTTTTGGGATGAGGGAACCCAATGCTTATATTTGGCAGGAAAAGGGTGAGTAGAATGGCTTGCATTGTTGATTTACATTTTCGTGACTAACTTTTATCTAGCGATGGTAATATCCGTTACTTTGAATATGAGAATGACAAATTCGAATACCTATCTGAATACCAATCAGCAGACCCGCAACGTGGTGTTGGCATCATGCCGAAACGTGGCGTGAACATGCATGAGAACGAAGTGGTTAAGGCGTTCAAAACCGTTAATGATACCTACATTGAGCCCATTTCCTTCATTGTTCCTCGAAGGGCGGAGATGTTCCAAGACGATATCTACCCACCCACCACTGGCCTCAAACCAGCCATGTCATCTGGTGAATGGTTTGCTGGCAAGGAAGGTCTCCCTCCGAAGATTGACATGGAGAGTTTATATGGGGGTGAGGGACTGAAGGAAATCTCCTCGAAAACAGTCTCCGCTCCAAAAGCCACTCCCTCCGTTAAAGCGTCTAAGAATACTACGAAGGAGCCAGAATCTCGAAAACCTGCTCCCGCTACTGTCAGCACTGTCACTCCTCCCTCTGTACAGGAGCAAGCTTCCTCTGTGGCAAACATGGTTTCCAAATATGCAGATCACGAAGAAAAGGGGGAGGATGGCGATGATTGCTCGAGCTTCGAGGAAGTCCAAAAGCCAGCGAGTCGTCCATCTGCCATTACATTTTCTCCACCGGGAGTCAGAGAGCCAGTTGTGGCATCGAAAGGGAATTCGAAGGCAGAGCCCCCCCTCACGACCTCTACCCCAAACAAGGTACGGTCGTCACTTTTGTGTTCTATTTTCGGTAGTGTTGACATTCTACTCTTGTGTATACTCACTGACTTTCTAGTTATCACCGCACACTCCCACCGCGGACATTCCGTCTGGTGTACATGATGTAGTTCAACGTGAACTGTCGTCTATAAGAGCATTAGTTGCAGAGCAGGGCCGGACAATTGTTGCTCAGTCCCAGCAGATTCAGTTCTTAATGAGCGAAATCGAAGAGCTGAAGGCGAAGTTATCCTAACGATTCCCCTAGCCTCTAACTAACATTTTCACTCCTTGGATATATATCTCCCTTGATCGTCTTACCCTTTCCTATCCTTTCACCAACCCATTCAGGATCTGTCCACCATGATGAACTGTGTTTCTGTTGCGAATAGTATAGTTGTACAGCCCGTTTTCCATGTTCCTTTTCTTTGGCTTTGCTTTACCAGGAAGTGCCTGCATGATTCTGAAAGCAAAAGTTGTCAACTGCTAAGCTGAAATTTAGTTGGTGTGGTTACATTGCCGAAAAGAGCGTAGATTTTCTTTTACCAGTGTAAATTTTGATTCACCCAAAAATATCCTTTTGCAATCCAAAATACCCTAAATATTCCATCTAAGGCAGTGCCTTACATCCAATTCTATGATGTAAAGTGCCTATAGTTCGATTATTCACCGTCAAAATTTAATAGTGAAGTGCTGTATGTAATTCTGTAGTATTTTTCACCTAGGGACCATTCAGATGGAGGGTTTATCCATAATGTGAGATGATATATTATTAATAAGGTAACTAAATACCGCTCAATGCCAGACTGGTTAGCCGATTAAAAAAATATATAATAAACGAGAGTAATGTACGAACTATAATAACCACATATCAAGCAACATGGCTTGGACGCTTTTATGATGATATAATTTCCATATTGTCAATGTGGGAACCAACAATGTTGAGGCGGAATTTACCGGGTTAGGGTTCATGTATACGGTTTCCCATCGGTGATTTATTCACACGGAGAGCAGTTTGTTTCGTGCAATGTTAGGGATAGCTTTTCAATTTTGGTGAAAGAAGACTATGTAGTTGTTGAATTTTCTGGGCACTGAAAAGGAGGGGGTCGTGGAAGCATTATTGATGTATTGAGCTGGGTCGGTTTACCTAGGTCTGTGATAGAAAACCCCATATATTAAGCGCACAACGTAAGAGTATGGAACCACATCACAGCGACTATCTAACAGTCTAGAGACTGGTATGTTGAAGGATCATGGAAATGAGTAAAGGAAGGAAGAATTTGTTTTCGTAACAACTCGTACCAATTACCAAAATATATCATGCATCTATCAACTGCCCTGAGTGACGTCTTCGTAGATTATATGAAAGAAGAGGTTCTTTTCCCTAAGAAGATGAAAGAATTTCTAGGCGCAAAAGGAAACAAATATTTGAAATAAAAAGGGAAATATACAAGCAGATGCTTCACGCCAAGTGGGTGATATGGCCGATTTCTTATGGCTTGGTTGGCGCTTCAAAGACAGGACACAATGATTCGTCCATGCTTTAAGCCCATCGAGCAGCTTCTCGTTCAAGCTCGACGCGCTCAGCTCTGGCTTGATCACTTTCCTCGTCTTCGTACTTGTAACTGAGATGCCTTCCGCCCAAAGTCCTACCTTGCCGGTTCTCGCGGCTCCGATTACATCTGCCATCCCTGTCGGCATTCATTGCTTCCCGCCTCTGCTGTTCCTTTAAGAGTCGCTCACGATTTCGCGCCTCACGTTCTAGAGTATGTGGGTCTTTTTCTTGAAGCCGGGATTCGCGATGCTCTGTTGATTTCTTCTCTCGATCTATAGCCTTTTGCTCTTCTGCTTCGTTTCGCTTGAGGCGCCGTGCGTGGCGACGAGAAATTTCAGTATCTTCTCGAGATACTGATCGATCACGACGAGACCGTTTGCGATCGCGGTCGCGATCGTGCTCCCTTTCACGGTCTTTGTCCCGTTCGCGTTTTGGATCACGCTCTCGAACTCGCTCCCTATCTTTATCCCTATCCCTATCCCTATCCCTATCCCTATCCCTATCCCTATCCCTATCCCTATCCCTATCCTTATCCCTATCCCTATCCCTATCCCTATCCCTATCCCTATCCCTATCCCTATCCCTGTCTCTATCCCTGTCCCTGTCCCGATCCCGATCTCGGTCCCGTTGTCGACTTGGTTTACCTTCAATCCCCGATCGGTCCTTGTTAGAACGATGGTCACTGTTTCGTATCGCAAGATCAAGCTTCTCCTCCGAGCTCGGCGGTTTTATGTTGGGGTCAACCCCAACAACTTCCCCATCACCAAGCTCGTGGTCACGATGCCTAGGACTTAAGCTCCGTGTACGATGCCGATGTGACCAATGGGTCGAGGTTGTCTTGCGGTCAATCTTTCTCTCCTTGTCGCGCTTACACCGATGCTGCAAACCTTTTGAAGGCTCCATAGACGGTGATGGAGATCGTGAGTCCCTATAGTCCCGACGATTGGAGCTCTGGTCATCCTGACCATAGTCCTCGTGACGAGATTTTCGCCTGCGATCCCGGCTTCCGTCTTTGCCTCGGTCGCTCCCAGATATGCTCGGCGAACGGGATCGATGTCGATGTCTGCGGTGATGACGAGACCGGTGTCGAGAAGGGGATCTTGATACTGATTTTGGTCTGGAAATAGACGGTTCCCGTGAGTGAGGCGGCGAGTCGCTGAGAAAAACTGTTAGATATGTTACCATAATGCTTGCAAGAAAATTGTGTTACCTGTGGGACTCTTTATCCCGTTTTGAAATGGACCCGCCTCCTCGCAGCAGAGACGGGAATCCTCTACCATTGCGTATGCTAATGTTAGGCAGCCCTTCCCTCATGGCTCTAGGAGCAGCTGGCGCTCCGACAACACCCACACCGCGAGACTCCATCGACATGGTGTTGCTGCGATAAGGGGCAAACAGTCGCGTCGGGGAAGACTGTAGCATTTCGTAAGAAAGGGATGTAGTATCTCGACTTGCATTAGGTAGCTTTGTATAGGCCCCATCGTTGTTATTACCATGCTCTAGATGGTCATTTTGCCGTGCTACAGCACCTACCTGGATATCTGTCCTGGATTGGCTTGCTTGATTGGCTGGGAGCGAACCATCAGCAGTTCTGTTGGAATTGTTGTGCTCTCCAGTTGGTAAAGGCGATTCGCTGGTAGCCTTGTTTTGCACGGATACTGTCGTTGGTTCGGTTGTAAGCTGGTTCTCTTTAAGGTCCTTCTCGCCGCCCGGGCAGAGATCATCATTAAACTTTTTGATATGATCCAAGTCCATATTGAATGTAGAAGCAGTACCATTAGGATCACCAGATACGGGGTCATTTTGAGGCTTGGCTTGCAAGGCGTTGTGGGAATGAAAAGGGCCTTGGTCAGTAGACGATGGGTAACTACCATGCATTGCAGACATAATAAATCCACCACGTCCGCGGCCACCGGGAAGAAACCCACGACCCCAGCCCCGGCCACGGCCAAAGCCAGGAGCAACATTGCCGTGGAAGTCATTGCTAGGATATTGGTGTTGTTGATGTATGTGAGGATAATTTGCGTAGCTTTGGGACAGATTATATCCACGATATCCACCATGACTAGGGCCAAATTCAGCACCCATGCGGTTCGCGAATGGATTTGCATTGAATTTATCTGGACCTCCATTCCACATATTCTGATGACCATCCCATGCTCCTCCATACATGCCATGCACTGCGTTGAAGTTCATTCCCATATTCACCCCATTATTCATGCCATTCATATTCATACCATATCCTCCAAACATCCCCTGACTCGACACCATCGGATCCATGCCTAACCCTGACATTGCTGTAGGTCCTAGCAGTGTTAGCACGCTGCCCACAAATAGAGCCAACCCTTAACTGAATAAGGAAACTTTCTCGAAACATACCTATCTGATTCTGGAATGGCATCAACCCATTGCCTGGGGCGCCGCTGGGCATCGACTGTACCATATGACCAAAGCTATTTACGCCCCCTTGCCAGCCCTGTTGCGGATAGCCACTCATTCCACCCATTCCAGCCACACCATTCATCCCATTCATAGCGTATCCCGTTCCTTGTCCATGTCCATGTCCATGTCCACTTCCACTTCCATAGGCGTCCGAAGAGATGGAGGTAGTCGAAGATCCATGAGGCTGACCCGAACCGAAATCAGCAAGGGCAGGCGTGTTGTCGTCTGTGGCTGGAGGCTCCGCCTGCGTCTGCGTCTGCGTCTGCGTCAATGCGCCGGTGGGGTCAGCACCAGTGCCTTCCTCCGCGGATTCGTTGCTGCTTTCGCCCACGGGATTTCCATGCTAGAGAAAATTGGTGTTAGCTGGAAACCCTGTAAAGGAAAGTGGTGCGGTGATTCTGTAGGGGAAGGGAGGGTTAGACTTACTTGTTCGTCGCCTTGGTCGCCGCTGCCTTGACTGGTAGCAATAGCATCTGCGGCCGTAGTTTGCGATTGAGGGTCACTAATCTTATCCACCACATCTACGCTGCCCGTAGAATGATCAGGGTGGTCAGTTCCCGTGGGGGCGGCACTACTTGTACGACTTGTACCGCTGACTTCTCGGATATCATCCGCCTGGTCTACCACAGAGGTGCTCGTTACAGGTGCGAGATCTGAATTAGTTTGGGAAACTGGTTCTGGTTCAGCTCGTTTGGGGGAAGTAGCTTGAACAGCCGAAGCAGCCGGACTAGTTGAAGCAGCGGGGGGGCGATCTTTCTCTCTCTTTTTCTCCTCGGTGCGCAGGAATGCTTTGAGGGTTGTCCTTAGGGCTTTATTCGGTTTGCATAGGTCTGCGGAGAGCGGGGTATGAGCGCAGACCGGACAACTTTCCGGCAGTGACGCTTGGCCTTTACAGAGAATGGAGAAGTTAGGGATATTTGCACGACTCAACTTAACAGAACACGCGAGAGAACTAGCAGAAACAAAAGGGGAGGGGCGCACTTACAGCTGTCGCATATTGCCTGGTCGCAGCACGGAAGGCGGAATGCATTCAGGGCAAGCTTATTGCACATTGCACATCGCAGTTTGAATGGAATCTCATTTTGGGTGAGGGAGCTACAGGGGAAGCAAAATACACAACGTCAGCATCAGTGCACCAATAGCAAGCGAAGAGGAGATATAAGTTTTCAAGCTGTTTACCTGGCAATGAGCATCAGCCCTGATGCCGGGTCAAGAGCCGCCATATTCGAGGCGTTGCCGCAAACACGGGGCGTGCTACGGTGGAACCAGCGGCAGATAGACTAATAGATTACGACGGGGAAATAACAGGCGAGACACAGGTCGTGGGAACCATTCTGAGGCCAAAGACACGCGGCGCGTAGTTAAGAAGCGGGCGGTTTTCGAAGGGCAGGCTGTGAACCGGCGGGGGGTATGTTGGGTGGGGGGGGAGGGGAGTTTGGAGGTAAAATGAGGCGCCGTTGGCTGCTGCTGCCGTCGTTGACTTGCTGGTGGGCAACCTGGGCAGCGTTGTCGGGTTTGAGGTTAAGGTTGACGTTGTTTTTCGCTCTTTGACTGTTGGCCGTTGCTTAGGAATCAAGGGACGGGTTAGTTAAAAAAAAAAAAAAAAAAAAAAAAAAAAAAAAAAAAAACCCGGGGGCGTCGGATTAACGGATCCCCCGTCACCGAAGGTACAACAAACTAACTAGTTATTAGTTACCTAGTTAGTTAACGTAATTCCACACCAAGTCGGCCACCACAGAGTCGGCCAGCAAATTCACTTTATCCCAACTAGGTAGTTTTTAATTCAAATTATCTCAACGCAACAAAGCTCAATTAAATTAAATTAAATTAAATTACACTTGGTTGAGGGCATCTTAGTCTTGTATGCCCAAACATTCCACAATTGCTGCATCTTCGTGGCGCTCGTACGCGTGTTGTGGGCTCAGCAGCTGAAGGCTTGGGGGGTTGAATAACTGGCTGTTCAACAGGCTCTGCAGGCTCTATAGGGCCTACTAGGAGACTTTGAACTTCTTCACTAGTTAAACCTCCTACTTCCTGCCCAATTCGGCGCCTAGATCTCTTGCGCTTTTGCTTCTCTATCTCATTGGTGTTGAATATATCCTGGTATTGCTTCTTCATAATTGTGGCACTGACCATCCCATATTCACAGGCCTTGATAATTTGGTCAAAACCTTCCACAAAGCCTTGAGGCTGACCCTCCACTAAGCCCTTGATCTTATTCGCCTGCCAGTGTAATTGCTGGGGATTACTAGGTGTTTGAAGCACCCAGGACATGGTTGAATTGCTAGAGCTGCTGCGTGGGGGGGTAGGGGTCCGTAGTTGAATATCCAGCTGCTGGAGGACGTAGTCAGGCTGAAAGGGCACTATTCCAGTTGCCTTGAAGCCGTTTTGAATAGTCTGAGGTTTGAAGGCTGCAGCGTGTGCTGCAGGGTAGGCATCTAGGAAATCTGCCTTCTGAATGGCATTAAATCCAAGCCGCATTCGCTGCTGAACTAGATCTCTGTACGCTCACTTTAAAACTGAAAAAACACCCACATCTAGTGGCTGCAGAAGGTGAGAGGAATGAGGTGGCATGCAAAGGCATATTATAGCATTATCCTTGCAGATTTGGTCAAATTCTGGGGTAAGGTGACTGCCGTGCCCGTCCAGGATAAGAAGGATAGATCTGCCAACTCTGCGAGGATCTGCTGCTGGAATAAACACCCGTTGAAGCCATCTCAGGCTTATTTCATCAGTAGTCCAGCCATTTGGACTGACATCTAGCCTCCAGCCTTCTGGAAGGCCTTCAAACCAACCTTCCAACAAGCCCTGGCCTTTGAGGATGAGATAGGGAGGTAGAGCCCATCCTGACGCGTTGACTGATTCAATTACAGTCACCCATTCACAGTTTCCAGGCTGTAGGAGCTTTGCTCTGCCATAGTGCTCACTACTAGTAATGACCTTAGTAGTGGCACAGAGCCCCATAGCAAAGCCAGTCTCATCAAAGTTGTATATATCCTCTGACACAATCCCATGCTCAGCAATTGTATCTCCTAAGGTCTTAAACCAATCCTTTATAACCTGCTGATCTTCACACTTGGCCCGGTCATGATTACAGCGTCTGGAATAGCGGCTTCGGAGCTCCGTACGACATTTAATCAGCCTTGAAATCCAGTTCTTGCTGACCCGAGGGGGGGAGGTAGTGGAGGCAGTGGAATTCCGTAAGGTAAGAAGATAATTAGCAATATCTTCAACAAATGCCGGCCGGGCGGGGAAACCTCGTTTAGCTTGGTCCAGCACCCATTCAACTAGGCTATCCTCTTCAGCAGCAGATAATTTGTGAGAGTTTGCGCGTAAATTCACCCGTGAGGGCCGGTGCTTGAGGCGATCTTGAAGAGTAGACCTAGGCACATTAAATAGCTTTGCAGCTTCACGAATTGAGAGCTTTTCATCATTTTGAATAGATTTTATCGCGAGTTCAATCCTCCCCTCTTGCTCAACTGAATTTGAAGAGTTTTTCTTGCATTTTGGTGGCATAATTGCGCGTTGAATTGAATGAGCAGTTAAATTAGTGGAGAAATTTGGTGGCCGACTCGGTGTGGAATTACGTTAGTTAGTTAAACCAAGTGTCTTAGGTAATCCCGCTTCACTTCGCAGAGTTCCTTTCCTTTTCTCCGTCCATTTGTAGGATACGTGCTCCAATATGCTACTGCAAGGGTTCCGTAACTGACTAGCTAAGTTAATTGATATGAAGTTACATACCCAATCACCCTTCTAAACTGTCCATTTGAGAGGTGAGTTGGGTTACACGTAAGAGGGTCCTGTTCTTTACCCGCATAAACGATAATCCTGTCCGGTAAACTTCAAGGGCTGGTCTTGGCTTGGGACGTGAGCAAAATAAGCAAGCAAGCAAGTAAGCAAGCCAAAAGCAAGGTCCTCATGAGGGTGCAATTTCAGGTTTAGCGCTCAGTCCGACTGAGGCAGATGGATGGGATGTTTGGTGTGGGCCCTGGGGTATATAATCAAGTGGGGTGGAGTGGGTGGAGTGGTTGGAAAAGGGGGGAAGAAAGAAGATAAAAAAGGTGGTTGTTGCAAGCTCCACTGTGTAAGGACTTTCCGCATAAACATTCTTCCGCCGGCCTCCCTCAAGCTGAGCTTTGGGCAGGGGGAATTTATTCGGGACTCCATTTCGAAGAACGAACCACAACAGGCTGTCAGATCATCTAGTGAGGTGCGGCCACCTGCAGAGCAGACAGCTTCACCAGAGCCAAACCAACCAACGAATCATCCAACCACTCTCCCCGTCTTGCTAGCATCTAGACGCCGCAAGTTCCTACCCTCTCCTGCCGACCTCAGCTCCAACACCGCGGAAAAAGAAAGGTATCGGATCAATCTACTACTGCTGCTTGCTCCTGCTACACTGCTACTGAAGGCACTCTACCGCTCTACCGCACGGAGCAGTCACTAGCTGTGTTCATCGTTACCACGGGTAGCGGAGATTGATTCGATAGATTGATTCGATGACTAGCCATTTCCAAGTCTATTGATCTATTTGCATGTTTCTCCACACCAAAGGGTCGTCTCCATCTACTCCGTTATACACACACAAAAAAAAGTTTAAAAAACCCTCTTGGAGTCTAGTGCATATCTAGTATAGCTACATGCCGGAGGTGTATATTTGCTAGGTAAGATATTTTGCGCTTTAATTAAATTCGCATCTGCTTAACTGCTCGTTCTCTCCCTTCTATCTTCCCACGTTTCTGAGGAAATAAATCAGATCGGCTACTGTATGCCTCCAGCTCTATTTTGATCTTAATCTGCTCCATGACGCGTTGTTTTAGTCGTCCGCTTGTGATGGCTGTGTTGGCGTTTCCGTCTATGTATAGAAACATGAACAGCCGATTGTGATCTCCCTATAGTTCACTCCTCTGAACCTCTTCTCTATATTTATTCCTGTCCATGGACCCTGCCCCTGCTAACACCTGCGGTGCCCAGCGATGACAGACCAGGATAACTCGTACAGACCCCGATCGCCGGATTTCTCAAGCTTCCCCGGAACCCTCCGTATCCCCCCCAGTCCTTACGGACCAGCCCCATACCCTCTCAACAGCCCGCTGGCACACAGGGCTTCCTACGACGCGTCCCCGTTCTTCAGCCCTCAAGACGCCCAGCCCCAGCTCCTACCGCAACTCCAACGCCCGGCACCATCGTACGTCGAACCATCTTTTGATACAAACTTCCCCCAGATGCCACCACAAACGAGATCACAGTCTGTAACTGCAGCTGCGGGGCAGCAGCACCAGCAGCCGCCGCCCGTAGAGTGGCATACAGCGCCAGAGCCCCCCGCAGAGAGCCAGCCGATGAAAATGGGGAGGACCACCCCGTCACGAGCTTCTGGGGGAGTCGAAGTCAAAACAAAGTTTCCTGTAGCTAGAATAAAGCGAATCATGCAGGCCGATGAAGATGTTGGGAAGGTTGCCCAAGTTACACCTATTGCTGTTTGTAGGTTTATGCATTTTCTTCTAAACCCCCTCCCGACAACCATCTTTTCTTGGTGACCTGTCGTATTCCATCCACCAAACATGAGAGCTTGGCTAACAATAGTTATCTTTTGCAAACATTAGCCAAGGCCCTCGAGCTCTTTATGATATCCCTTGTCACGAAAGCTGCCCAAGAGGCCAAGAATCGGTCTTCGAAGCGTGTGACTGCAGCGCATCTCAAGGAAGCTATTGGGAAGGATGAGGTTCTCGATTTTCTTGCAGATATCATTTCTAAGGTGCCCGATCAGTCAACGGGTGGGAAGAAGGATGACGATGGAAGTGACCATAATGACGGACGTAGGAAAAAGGGAGGTGGGCGACGAAAGAAGGAAGACTGTGATGATTTCTGACATGATGTTACCGGTGTTTGATTCCCTTAACGATTTCTATTTTCCATTTCTTTTTTTCATTTATTTTTTATCTTTGTTGCATTCTTTTGTTTCTTCTCTTGCTCCTTCCTTGCTTCCTTTCAATTTTACTAGAGTAACACCAGCCCTGGACCGTGTAGCATTTAATGGAATTGGAGGCGTTTATCGGATCGAGGCTTGCTTCTCATTGGTTAGCTCAGTTTGTGAATCACGATACTGCCTGGATGTTTATAGCGGAATCCGGTGTCTTTACAAAAGCATTATGGTCATGAGCTGGAAGTCATGATCAGGCCGGTTTACATACATACAGTGGCATCACGGTGTGTGTCCTGGCTTCTCTGATTGCCTGGTGAAGTAAATTTTATAATTCCTGGCCATAGAGAAGTGTGCCCGGTATATACGGTAATAACTTAGAGGACGCAAACTTTTAATTCTAAAACAATCTCATTTCATTCTTATTCTTTCCTCTTTCATAGGGTTCATTATAACCGAAGAATCAAGGGGATCAGGAGCATTGTGGATCAAACCAACTAAAAATAATTATTCAGGTCACTGCATTTTTAGTCCGCATCACGAAACAAACTCCTCAAAACAAGGTAACTACTACAGTGTAGGCTTTACGTGCCAGCCAGCACCAAACACCAAAGGCCAACACCCGAGAAAATCTTTCAAAAGTGTTTGACTGGTGAAGGGATCTATCATTCGCATCCTTTTGTTCCGCAACGGATATGCTGTCGATTCTGAACCATGGACTTTGTAGGTTGTCAGCCAGAGTTCTCATTTCCGGTCCCTTACTCTGCTCACTTCTTCCTGTTTGAGACTCATCCAAATACTCACTAATAGTTGCCTGTAGTGGTCTCGTCTCATTGGGGGTTCTGGCCTGTCGCCATCTAAGGGGTTTCGGGGGAACTCTGCAGCTGACCGTCTGTCGGCGTTTAAGCATGCGTGTAATACGCTCGATGTGAGAATAGATAACTACTCCTCGTACTAGCCTAACTTGCCTTTCGGCTATTGTCCTTTGTTCCAATTCCAATGCTAACACGACGTTTATCATCCTATTTAATAGCAAATATGGCGTAGCGCCCCGACGGCTTCGGGAGACGCTGCTGCCATTCCTCAGGTCCGAAATTGTCTCCATCGCCTTAATTCTGTCCTCAGCGATGAGTCTCGCGGCCCTGCACCCCATCCTTGCCAGGCGTTTGCTGCCACCTCGCAGGTGTACCTTACCGTCACCAAACTTGCGCTATCGTCTTGTGATCCTGGAGTGATCTCGAGTGCCGCAATCCTCTTCAATACATTGATTGACGCGGAAGTTGAAGGCATTGTCGATAATCGTATCTTTGCGAGGGCACTGGTCGACCTTGTTCGTAGAGCGGGCTCTGCTGGCGAGGAAGGGGAGGGGAGGCTTGTGGAGCTGCTGTTTGGAGTTGCAAATAATATCAGACTGCGTCCTGCCATTCTGTCTGCTTGGTTCTTCCCCAAGAACTACGGGAATCGAAAATTGGAAGTTATTGAGAGCGGAAACGAGTTTGCGGGTGCAACACGAAAGGATGACTTCCCTTTCTTCTATCTTCTAATCGACTACGTGCATCACGAGGGAAGATCGGGCGATTTTGCCCGCACTGGTCTACTGTATATTATCGAGACGGCATCAAGATCAAAAGAACTAGAGCGTTGGCTGATAGAAAGTGACCTTGCCACCTTAATGGCTACGGGTCTAGGGGCGCTTTACAGCCAGTTGAACAGGTCCGTACGCAAGTTTGCTTCTATCCGGCCATCAACGTATATCCACTGACATTGTAATCACAGAAATCTTCTTTTCTCGAGGAGGGATGACGAGAGTATCCCCCGTATCATCGCTCTTTCTGACCACGCGCCAGAGGAGGCTGCCGCTCGGCCCAAACTCGGCACTCATATGGATGCATTTCTTTCTTATTTGCTATTCTGGCAAGACACCATCGACCATTGTAAATCCACTGAAGTCAATGATACACTGCTTGATCATTTTCAGGTTCTATTTCTCCAACAATTACTGTAGGGTTAATGCCCGCGCGCTGATATTCATACTGTCCTTGACTGACTATGATATAGCTATCCTTCCCTCTTGGAATCATCGGATGTGGATGGAGGCTCCACATCCGCTGTGCTCACCTATCTTTGCCGCATTTTGGAATCAATTGACCAACCAGACTTGGTTCATCGAATTTTGCACTTTTTACTGGCCTCCTCGTCTGGGGTTGAGCCCGCCATTCAGATTCCCAAGGAAAAGCTGCGAATGTCGCTAAGTCGCCGCAAGTCTCTTGATCTTCTAGCTTCGTTTGCTGAGGCTTCTGCAAAACCGTCACCGGAACTTTTCAATTTGGTTGACCTCGTTTTGATGAGTATTGGGTCAAAAAACACCCCCACGGTGGTAGCAACTCTCCAGCTCATCTCTGTCATTTTTCAACGGCACCATATATTTGCAAGTTCGTTGATTAAGACCGTTTATCGTCCTGAGGGTTCTGTTCAAATGCGCTCAATTGGTGCGCTTAATGCGGAATTACAGCATTTTGTGAGTTTGGCAAAATTAATACTGGAAGACCCCTTCTTGGATCAATCCTACCAAAATTATCTCCTTGATGCGTCTGCCATTCTCGAATTAAGAACACCCGTTCTACCTTTGATTGGAAGCATAGCCACAGATCCCCCTCGAGATTCGCTTTTGCTTCTGCATACTAACGATGATATATTTCGGGAAATGGCCTCTCGGTTGGAGTCATTTTTCACTAACAGCGTTGTAATGAATTTAGCGTTAACAGACGCTATCACCGGTTTGGCAACTTCGAACTTTGTTTCCTTGGATGGATGGCTCCTAGTTGAGCCTCATAATTACGAACACCAGGCCTCGGATCCGAGCTCCATAGGCTTCCCTCATCAGGAAATTGACCCCAGTGGAAAATTGAATCACATCTTTAATTACTTCTCTTGTACGCCGTCAGCGTTGCCACTAGTGCCAAGGATTATTCGCAAACTGGTTCTAAGAATCGAACAATGGCGGCTTGAAATACCAGATTTCGACATCCTGGTGGCAGCCCGCAGATATTTGCTGCATTCCGGAAACACGAACGAGGCAGAGATTGATGAAGAATATATTGCCAAGTTTTCTGCATCCCCCCCTGGACCTGCAAGTGAGCGCCAGAGTCAGAATACGACCAGGGTTGGGACGGGCTCCGACTCGCCACGTGGCCGCAAAACATCACTTTTTGAGCGAACAGATTCTTCGCCGTCACGTCGTTCGGGCAATTCTGGTTCAAGATCGCTATTTAGTTCCCCTCTCCGGGATTCTTCCCAAAAGCAAGCATCCTCCCGGCCAGTGTCAGCAACCCACTCTTCATTGGCAGCAGATGACCTTCGTAGACGTCTTGCAACCCCAATGAAAGTCGATTTGTCTGTTGATTCCTCTGACAACGAGGTTTCTGAAACCGACAGTTTGAATTCTCCTTCAGCTCATTCAAGGTTAGAAACGATTGGTGACCAAGCACATCTCAAGGAGCACAGTCACCCAAATGACCACGTTACACTAGGACACATCCTGACAAATGTCATCATCCTATATGAATTTATTCTTGAGTTAACCGCTTTGGTTCAGGTTAGGACAACGTTATTTCAAGAGCTCAAATTTGAGACCTAGTTATTCGGCTACCATGTGTTAGCTGGCTTTTTACACCGTATTGTAAGGTATATGCATTGAAGAGGTGGACGATAAAAGCCTTCTCCAATGCTGCTGTCGATATTTTTGTAAAGTTCCTTAAGTCCATTTCTATAGATACGCTCAGGTCCCTTGCATGGTATGGCACCTGCAGATTAGATTTGTTTCTCCTGGCAAAATGTTATTATTTTCAGTCACTCATTTACTACTATATATTACTATTTTCTTGCTGGGTGGTCATAGATGCAGAGTTTTAATATCTACTATCGTGTTTACTCAAATCAAGGTATTAACTTCATTACAGCTGAACTACAACATCCTCTTTTTGAGGCTGTTCAACTGACACAAAAAGAATTATTTCATGCCATACCTACTCTGTTATGTTCATCAAACATGTGAAAGATACAACAAACATTCATGAATAGTTGGACTTGCTCTGTACAGTTCATGCTTTATCTAAATTTCTGTGCAAAGTCATAACTGATATTTTTTTGTCCCTGAGACTACACATTTCACGGATGTGCTCATCTGCACTGGATGTTATGTAGCTCAGGGGATCAACCATAGTTACCTGTAATACAGGGGCAGCCTATTCTATAGGTAGGTACTCAGTGAGAGGAATACGTAGTTATATATTAGTGACTATAAATTTTAAGACAAAATTTCTCTGGTGGTTTTCGGTGAGGCTACTTCGCTGGTAGTTAACTAGTTAACTATAGAGCAGGAAACAATTTAGATCATTCCATGCAATGATACAAATCTACATGGTGGATGATGATTCCAACGACAGTTGGATTTGCCTTGCCCACTTGCTTGCTCCTCAAAGCCGATTTCCCATCCAGAAACGAACTTGACACCTATTAACTAGTTATTGGTTACCAACCGGATACCAATGTTTGCATTCTTGACTTCTTGTTACCCGCAGTTTTGTCTGAACAGAAGCGGTGGTTAATTATGTCAGGATTACGTGTGATTCATACAAATTAACTAGTTACGTGCGATTGCGTATAGTTGATGAGTCATTTAGTTGCTTAGTCATTCCAGCGCATTCTTTGTAGATAAATACCACCTTCTTTCCTACCTGTTCGTTTGAAGATTGATGCAGAGAATATACCGCTCATTTTGATGCATTATTAGCTCGTGAGATATGCCGACAAATTAGTAGTTAACTAGTTATAGTCACTAACGTAGATCTAATCAACTTGGAAGACATTCAAACTACCTGCGGTCATCAAACCCCGAACCGCCAATGACTAACACATCCAGTTAGAGGGTCGGAAGGGTCAGGAGATTC